AAGAACTCCAGTCCCAGCGCCTCAAGCTTCTTGCTCAGCAATACATTCCTGTTCTTCACAGTCCTTGCCATTAAAGCTCTTTAATTGGGCTTTCCATAATTTGAAACTAAAACCATTGTTTCTTCTCCTGTAATGGACAGCACAATGAGAACACAGGTCCCCTTTGCAACAAATTATCTGGAAAACTGTTTTCACATCCAACTTTCTATAGCCTATATGGTAAACAATGCTAACTCTTTCATTGTTTACTGTGGTTTTGAGACCTTTGGTAACTGTCTCCTCTCCTTTTTTTTTTTTTCCTTTTTTTTTTTTTTTTCTCCCAGTTAGTCTCCATTGTTTTGGAACTCTTGCGCTCAAACCTAAGTAGAATAATCCAGCTGAGACCTTGTAAATTTTCAGTGGAGTAGAAGAACTACTCTGTATGATTTTCTGATTATCAGACCTAGAATGAGGTTAACCTTTTGCAAGACTATGGCTATATTGACCCTAGATCACATCTGATCCCCCGTATCTCTGAAGTCATTCACCATTCACTGTGAACTAATACTTGTTCCCTTTTTCCTTCATTCTTTTTTTTTTTCCATATCTCTGTGTGGCACATAACTTATTTCCATAATAAATATTCTTACATTTCCACAATAAATATTCTCTACATTTTTTTGGTAGAGACTGATTTATGGATATCCATCAGTTCTGGTTTCTGGACATTCAAAAATATAGAAAAATGTTCTTCATATTGCAAAGTGAAGGTGATTTCTACAAGTACAATGAGTATGGTGCTCCCAGGTTATGTTATACATGTTGTGCTTACCCAGCTCAGATTTAGAACTTACCCAGACACATTTAGAACTCCCAATAGATGGGATACATCAGTTCTATCACTGCCAGTACTGTCAGCATTGTATCTACCTGGATGGGCTTACAGGGACAAGGAATTATTTGCTTTTTTGTAGCTGTGTTTTGAAAAACAGCTTCAGACTATAATGGGAATTAATCTTATGCAGATATAAACCAATGAGCATTTAAACTTGAATTAACACTTTTTCTTTGCAAGCATTTATGTCTCTTACTAAAATAAGTTGTTGAAAATACTGTATGAAATCAGACAAATAAATGAATTCCATCTAGTTCATTACATTAAAAAAGTAGAAATACAGAAGATTCAATTTATGAAAAGAATGGAAAAATGAAGCAATGTCTATGAGTTTCAATTCACTGATCATAGATTGTGTTTTCTACTACCCATTGAACTACATAAAAATCCAGTTTTTAGATGGGATTTGAGTGGGGTCATGGAATGCCTGGGATGAGGTTGTCCTCCGTACACTGAGAAAATTGAAGCATTAAACTGAAGTCATGTCAGAAAAAAAAAGAATAATTCAATGAAATGTTTAATAGACAGACTGTAATAGCTATTCACATGATTTTTAGATGCATATATAATAGCACATCTGTGACCATAAAAGCATGCCATTACACATCTGTAGAGTACACAAATATTAATATGACCAGCAGGTTGAGAGAGATGATTCTCTTCCCCCCTTCACTCTCCCACTCCCCCACCCCCCCTTGTGAGACACCACCTGGAGTACTGCATTCAGCTATGAGGTTCCCAATATAGGAAAGACATGGATCTATTACAGCAAGTCCAGAGGAGGGCCACAAAGATGATAAGAGGGCTGGAGCACCTCTCCTATGAAGAGAGGCTGAGAGAGCTGGGGCTGTTCAGCGTGGCAAAGAGGCTGAACAGGTCTCTTATAGAGGTCTTCCAATACCTGAAGGAAATACCCACTTCCAATACCTACAGGAAAGCTGGAGAGGTACTATTTATCAAGGAGTGTAGCAATAGGACAAGGGGTAATGGTTTTAAGCTAAAAAGAGGGTAGATTTAGATTAGATATAAGGAAGAAATTCTTTACTGAGAAGGTGGTGAGTCACTGAAACACACTGCCCAATGAAGCTGTGGATGTCCCATCCCTGGGAATGTTCAAGTCCAGGTCGGTTGGAGCTTTGAGCAACCTGGTCTAGTGGAAGTTAGAACTAGATGATTTTTAAGGTCCCTTCCAACCCAAACCATTCCACAATTTCATGATCCTACCTCTACTTTTTGGAATCTATTTTTTATATTTAAAATACTTGAGTTACTACTACTAGAACAATCTTGTGCTGTATAAAATACAATCCAGATGAGATTGTTCCCACACAAGTTTTAGCTTTTTATAATTTCAGTATGTAGTTTATGCTTATCTAGTTTCTTTTTGTAAACAATGGATGTGTATGTGGAGAACTGAGTACTTTGGGTGAAATGAATCTCTCTTTCCATTAACTACAAAGAGGATGTGATCAACTAGCTTTAGAAGGATAAAGCTAAGTAAGATAAAGCCCCTTCCTTACAACTAAGGGAAGCAGAACTAAGAAGGTGGGGGAAACTTAAAGGTACAAATCTGCATTCTTGCATAAGAATGTTCACAGATTCTACCTACAATTTCAAGAAAGTGAGGCTGTGATCCAGCCCCATATGTATTTAAGTAATTTGTGGTTGAATGGACGTTCTTTTCACTGCCTCTTCCCTGATAGATTTTTCATCCCTAAATTACTCTACTCTGTAATCACAAGAGCTTTTCTTTACAAGTAAGTGACAAACACGTTGGCCTCAATCTACACTACAAAAGAACCATACTTCAATGCACAGGTGTGAAACAGATTTGTTGCCATGCAGCTTTACTGTGTAGCAATTCGTTTTGTGAGTTTGTTGATGTGATATGCCTACTTGAGAAAGCGAACAACACAACTGCAAAACATAAAGTTGTCTGGCTATATTTCCCGCTGCAGTAAACTGATATATTTCCTTCCAGTCTACAGAACTGTACTAGTTAACACAAACTGAGGGCCTGAACATAATTCACCTCCTGGAGATGAAGGAGAGCACACAGCCACTCTGTGGTTACTAGCTATGTTTCAGTGTCAGCTAAGTCTCTGTGTAAGTAGAGGCATTTTCAAGGAAAAAAAATATAATACTCCCTTTAAAAAAAAAAAAATAATATATATATATATATATATATATACACCTGGATTAAATGTGTGTGTTTTTATCTCCTTCTTTTGGAGCTGGAGAGAATGAGTAGAAAGGAACAATCAGAGAAAGAAATAAGATAAAAAAGAAAAACAGAAAACCTTAGTTGGCACTGCTGAAAAACACATTCAAACAGCTCTCACACCAATCTCAAATGAGAGAGCTATTTAAAAATAATAATAATAAAAATTAATGTTTTGCTATTTGCAACAGTTGAGTGCATCTATAAAAAAAATGTCAGAAAACTCTAAAACACTAAAACACTAAAAAGATTATTTAAGGGAAAATATAAAAGCAGCGGAAGAGAGACAGATACCTTTTTTTTTTGGGGGGGGGGGGGGGGGAAGAGTGAGAAGACACATAGGAATTTAAGAAAAAGCTGAAAACAAATGCTCCAGCAGTAAAAAGGTGGAGTAGGAAACTTGGTGAGCAGCTGGGAGAGAACAGAGACAGAAACTGTGCCATTGAGTGGAAAGGATTAACTTACGGTCTCTGATGCTGAGGAGAAGACGACAAAATCAAAAGTTGACTAAACCATGTAAGGAGACAGAGTTTTCACGTAACTTTGCAGGATATTCTTTAACATGTTTTATATATTTTTGCTTAAACTGAATTTTGCTTACATACTGGCCATTTCAGATCCTATTTTCCATGTAGGACATTTTTGCTCAGAAAATGACCCATTTCTGAAACCAACCCTCAGAATTCATAAGTCTGACTTTGAGAAAGAGTTGTCTTGTGGAGAAGAGGGAAAGCTGGGTGAGGACCCACACACCTTCCTCTGCCCAGGCTATTCTTGGCTCATTCACTTCCCTGAGCACTGAATTCATTCACAAATTGGGAACATCTCCTGCTGTTACTTTCTAGCACATTTGGTAAAGTGATGAATCCCAAATTAGTACTGTGGTGTTGCTAGGTTTTGATAAATGTGCCTATAAATTCATTGCAGCAGAAGAGAAGTCCCTTTTTTAATCAGAAAGCCTGCTGCTGTCAATAACAGAAACGTTGCTTGAAATTAAACATTTCAAAGAAAATACGCCTTAACAATAGGTGTAATGTTCTTCATGTACAGCTACAACAATGACCTAGCTCTATTTGCAGAACTATGACATTAACCCTTACACACCAACAATACTTAGGCTTTTAGTTAACCTCACAAATATTTTGTTGTGTGACTGCAGCATTAACATGTATTAGTAAGCAGTTGTCCATAAGGAATTTGTGGGATTGTCATCAAAGGCTAAAACAGGCAGTCCATTCTCAAAGTAAAAACACCTGGGGATCACAGCAATCACTCTGAAGGGAATTAAAGCAACAGATTAATTGACCGTAAGAATCATTTTCCTTGTTCATGAATCTGGATTTCCCTTGGCTGCCAGAATTGTAGATGAAAGTGAAAAACATCCTTGACCTTCTCTATCAAAGAAAATGCTTCTTTCTTTCTCCTTGTCTAATGTGCAGAAATGTGGATTTTTTGAGTGATTTAAAAGGTTTGAGAATTGCAAAGAAAAGGTGTCAATAAAATAGTATTCAGGTTCTCATTTATTCTGCTGTGTCCTGACCCATAAAAAGGTGTTACAGAACATTTCAAAAGTTGTCAGCTTGTATCCTTGTAGTCTACCACACTTCCTGACTTTAACATCTGTGATGCAGCTCTACGAGTTAGTGTGTGTAAATAGTATAAATACATGAAATAAGACTGCACAGATCTTAGAAAAACAGTGTCTGTCTGGAGAAAGGTGATACATGCTCAAATCTTTGCACTCTCTCTCACTCTGTGCAATCCTTGGCAAAACAGCTAGTCTGCCTTCCATTTTCCCATCTGAAAAATATCCCTTCACAGAGTAGTCAGGAGGTTCTATCAATTAGTCCTTAATTAGGAAAACACTTAAACAAGTGTTTCAGTTAAGCCCTTTTCAGAATAGCAGTTTAAGCATGCTCTTAAATGGCTTCCTGAATTAAAGCTTAATGCTTACAAAACTCTTCATATCTAAATACAGAAGATAGTATATACATGTTATGTAGGTAAGTTAGGGTTTATTTATATGTTGTTCAGTAAAAGACTAGGCTGATCACTTCACAGGGCAATTAGCTTGTTTACCTTTTTACTGAATGTGCTTGCTGGCTCTTTCTACGTGCATTACTTCTGGATGGATTATATTAATGAACAGAGCTTGATTAAGACATAGGAACAACAGGGCTAAGTAGGGAATGAACTGTCTGACCTCTGAAATATTTTGAGATTGCAAAAAAAAAAAATATGTTCCATTTCCATGTTGTTATGAAATCAAACCATTTCAAAGTGGGGAAAAGTATGCCTAGGGTAAAGGTAATTATCTGGGATGCAAGAGAGAAAAATTCAAGCCTCTCTTCCTCACTTTCCTGCTTACTAAACAGGTAGTAATTCTATCAACCAATAGAATTTTGCAGTGGGTCCTCTTAGTTTGACCAGAAATTCTACACTCATCTCTCTATCCACTTTTTTTTTTTTTTTTTTTTTTAACACCCAAGATGATATTTCTTTGAGATGTGTTTGGATTTTATAATATCTACATATTCTGATCAAATCATGTTTCCTTGACAGATCTGTTCTCTCAGATAACCAGTTCTCCACAGCACTTTGAAATGCTGTTAAGTTCACAGTAGGATTCAGACACTGAAGCAGAATTTCTGCTAATTATAAGAGCAGAATATGTTTTTTTTTTCTTCTCAAACTCCTCTTGTTATAGGTCTTTATCTAATTAAATATTTCTTTCTTGATAAAGCCTGAACTTGGAGCAAATATAATCAGTTAATCACAACTATTCATTAATAAATGGCTCTGAATATGGAGATGTTATTTGCTACAGCTCACCTTTTAAAGCATTGGAATGGCTCACAGTTCAATTAATTTAATTATTTTGTGCCCCAGTTTAAATAACATTTACTTCCCAGTTAAGTTCCACTATTTCTTTGTAAATAAAAACTGAAATAGATAGATATCATTTTCATTTTGGAGTAATGACTCATAGGCAAGGTATAGCTTTGTAGGCTTGGAGTCAGGGAAGGTCTCATTGTGCACGGAGTTTTGTTACATCATGAGGAAGATAGACCTGTCTCTGATGAGATGGATAAGTAACAACAAACATTTGGTCCTTTAGGAATTTTCTAAGAATTGACTCATTATTTCTTTCATTTTTTCTCCCTATTTCTTCCACATACAGATAAATACCTGCTAATCTGTGCGGGTGTTCTGAGAATGAATTTGTTAATGGGCATGAAATGATAAATACTACAGAAATGACTGTGCACATATGTCCACACCCTCTTATTCTTCCCTAGTTTTGGTTACTACTCTTACCTTAACCTTTCCTATGTTTGGAGCTGCCTTTTGAAGAAGATCAAACACTTCTGTCAGGAGAGAGACAATCACACCTAACGAATGCTAAGGCCATTCCCTTTGTTTCTGGGACCCCACTTCTAGCTCCCTGTGGGTTATATGAGGAGGGAAAAAAATGAAGAAAACAAAACAAAAAGATTATATCTGTGTTATTAAGGATAGTGCTCTGTTTCAGAGGGATCAGTGTTGTCAGCAAAGTCAGATGAGATCTGCAGCTGCCAGAGAATAAAACCACAGTGGGCAGGTATTCCACCAGAGTGAATTGGTCAGGCACAAAGAGATTCCCAGTGTTTACTGAACATTTACATATAATTTCTTTTATTCCCGTTTCAGCTAATGGACAAGTGAAATAACAAAGGTTCTTCAAAGCACAGTGATGAAGACTACACATCCAGAAACAGCTTGTGCATAGCACATTTGCTTAGTAACAAATGTCACTGTGAAAGCATTACCCTTTATCACTATATTGAAAATCACAGAACGAAGAATTATTTGATAGTATTGTTATCCATGGACAGGATCCATGGTCACCACATGGTCAACATCACAATGAACCCCTCATCTCCAGGGGCTATGAGAAGTGCCTGCTGTGTAGGCAGTGTGACTTCCAGGAGCTCTGACCTACTAGGCCCCTGGAAGACACATGTGGACAGAGGAAAGTAGCTGTATTGTAGCACAGGTACCAACCGTCTTTGGAAATATCAGCCTCATCAGGCACTGACAAACTATCCAAGATGTCAATACTTGGTCCCCCTGCCCTCCACAGTGGAGAAATGTGCTGATGGGAAATAACTGTCATCTTCTTCCTCATCAAAATACAAGGTACAGCTAGGTGCTACTTAAGTACGTGTCTTGTCAGGTTGGGAAGTTCAGCCAAACCTCTTTGGGCAAGAGAGTAATAACCACAGCAAGAAGAAAAATCAGATCAATATCTGCAGGCTAGTTTTACATCAGTATTCATACACAGGAAACAAAAACAACAACAACAAACGTTTTAAGAGATCTCTAAAGGGTAAATTTATTTTTTTTTTGTACAAATTTGACAGAAATACATACATAAATGAGTGTGTGTATTTGAGAGAATAGCAGACAATGCAATGCAGACGGTGTGATTACTAGGAATTTTTACTTTTTGGCTATCTAAACACATATACTTGTAAGAGCATAAAGACAAAATATAACTCCACAAAATAATTGAAAAGATCTTATGGTGAAGTAATTAACATGCTTTCCATTTACTAAAATATCTCACTGGTTGCCAGAAATACTCAAGAATATATGAAGTTAAATTCTAACACTGTGAAGTTGATCAAAATAATATTCCTACTAAATTCAATGTGAAATAAGACTTCATCCTCTTTCTCTTTAGGATTTTCTGGGGGATGATGCAAAGGGCATGAAAAGGAACAAGCAATAAAATAAGCAGAATACACAGGCCTCAAAATTTGCTCAGAAGAACGTGATAAAATGGCAACCACTGCTGTGAAAAAAACAGAAGCTGTTTTATGATATCCGTAATGGTTTAGGGCTGGGATACAGGAGTTCCTGGCTGTGGTTACAACCTAACCTTGAAGGAATGGTTCTGTTATTCAGTTTTCCTTTGCATTAATAAGGATAGTAAATTCCTGTTAGAGATAATTTATTAATGTTTATGGAAATATGTTAATTAGCATCAGAAAGTTCTATTTAAAAAAAAAAAAAAGAAGAAGAAAATATTAAATAGGTATTTGGATTAATGAATCTGAAGAGATATGTAGGTTGACTAGAGAAAGTAATGAGTGAGCTCTCAGGTGTTTCCTATGTTAATAAGAGCTGTTAGTCAAATAAGTGACTTGAGTTTATAGTAAACTCAGGCTTATTCTGTTTGATTTCCTAAGGAACTTTTCCCAAGCCTACTAAAATTAGTGAAACTCTCTTCCATGATTTCTTGTCATTCCAGAACTTCTGGGATCAGTCCCAGAAAGAGTAAGGAATGACTCTCATGAGAAAAGATAAAGGGTATGAAACTGGGGCAGAGGAGAAGTCCCAGGACAGATGCAGGGAAAATCCATTGCATAACTCAGGCTTAAATCTCCCCAGAGCAGCTGGGTCAGCAGGGCCTGGGGAAGCCATCCTCCACCCAACAGCTCACAGACCTTCCCCTTCCCATCAGTGAGAGTCAACATGAGAAACTGAAGTCAGCCTCAATCCCCAGGCTCCCTGACCCCACCTCACTGAGTTTCCCACAAAAAGGCATGAGATGCCTGCAGGACTTAATATTACTGGCTGCTTACATTTATGCAGAATCTAAGGGCACTTAATCACGTATATCAGCAGAGGGACCACCCAAAGTTTTCTAGAATTTTTCAGTTCCACAATCAGATATTTTAAGTTACAAGGGGACTTACATTACTTTATGATCTTTTTTTTTTTTTTTTTTTTAATTACTCTCATATTTGCTTTTAACATAGTCCAAGTAATTTAATGAAGGAAAGGTGGTAATATGTGGGTTTACAAAGCTTTCTGTGAATCTGTGTAATACAGAAATGTCTGATTTATTTTATTAATCTTAGCAAAGCTTTGAGGAAAAACAGTATCAACATAAGAAAATACAATAGGACCTAAAAGACGCTTTGTGTCAGAAATTCCAGAAAAATGTTTATTTTAGTGATGTCATTAATTGTTTTTTCTTTAAGGAAAATAATCTCACTATGCCTCAGCTGTCTGCATTACTGAAAAATTGTTCATGTTTGCTCAGATGAAATTGTTTAAAAGAGCTCAGCTCAACACCCATTTGAACTACATCAGTGTCCATGTAAATAAACATTACAGCCATCTTCCATTTAAATCAACTAACAACTAGTAAACTGTCCATTCGACCTAAAAGATTAGTATCGACCTAAAAGATTAGGTCGAATGGACAGTTTGCTAGTTGTTAGTTGATGATGGAAATGTATCTCACCAATATTTAATTATAGCTCTGTAGAAGTTGTTTCACAAATTAGAAATGTTTTGAATACTGTGTACTCTGAGGAGCTGTTAGTTTGCAATATAGCTAAGTGTTTCAGCTAACTGGTCATAAAGAGATGACATGTGAGTACATGATTCACATGCTGTTAATTAAAGTTGCTAATAACACTCAAAGCTTTAATACATAACCGCTAGCTACCTGGATACTTGGTACACATATAGCTGCAACTGTAAATGTGATTCAGACATCATGTGATGTAGAAGACCATCTGGAAAGGGGAAAAAATGAACTTCACAAGTGCAAACGGAATAGAACAAAGACAGCTCCAAGGGGAAAACAGTGACCAGGCCTGGAAAGAAGAGTCTCCATCCCTCTTTCTTCTTCTTCCTATAAACACTATGACTTTCTCTGAAAGGAAGATGAACACACTAAGAAACAAATAAAAATACAAAGAAGAAATATAAGAATTGTGAAATGATGTGGCATCATGGTACTATCTATAGAAGTGCAAATTAGAGAAAAAGACAAACTTGAGAAGTTTAAAAGTATTCTTTACCTGGTAAATTTTAGTCCTGAGTAGAACTGTTAATTTCAATAATATTCAGTAGTTTATTTTAGAAGGCCAATTTCAAAGATAATTTATAATGGTCCATTCTTCATTCATTAAACCCCTGACTTGATTATACTGGGAATTCAGAGTCTGCAAGACAAACAAAACTGTACAATAATGAGATGATTAAAAATAAATCAGATGAAATTGTTTTTTATTTAAGGCTCTTTATTTATTTTATTTATATCTGATAAATATATATCTGATATTATTTATCTCTGATATATATATATGAGAATCATACAATATCTGAGTTAGAAGGGACCCACAGGGATCATCAAGTGCAACTCCCAGATCCCCAAAGTACCACCCAATACACAAATAAATAAATAAATACATAAATCAGATTATGTGTCTGAGAGTGTTGTCCAAACGCTTCTTGAACTCTGGCAGGCTCAGTGCAGTTACTGCTTCCTGGGGAGCCTCTTCCAGTGCCCAACCATCCTCTTGGTGAAAAACCTTTTCCTGTTATCCAGCCTGAACCTCCATCTCATTCCCTCAGGTCCTATTGCTGGTCACCAGAGAGCAGAGCTCAGCACCTGCCCCTCTGCTCCCCTTGTGAGGAAGTTGTATACCATGATGAGGCCTCCCCTCAGCATCCTCTTCTCCAGGCTGAATGATCCAAGTGACATCAGATGCTCCCCACTTCTTCCCCTCTAGACCCTTCACCATCTTTCCAGCCCTCCTTTGGGTGCTCTCTAACAAAATTTTCTATCTTTCTTGTGCTGTGGCATCCAAAACTGCACACAGTGCTCAAGGTGAGGCCTCACCAGCACAGAGTAGAGTGTGACAATCTCTTCCCTTGACCGGCTAGCAATGCCGTGTTTGATGCACCCCAGGATACAGTTGGCTGTCCTGGCTGCTAAGGCATACTCCTGGTTCAGCTTGCTGTCAACCAAAACCCCCAGATCGCTTTCTGCATGTCTGCTCTCCAGCATCTCATTCTCCAGTTTGTACATATAGCCAGGGTTACCCTTTTACAGGTGCAGAATCCAGCACTTGCTCTTCTTAAACTTCATACTGTTGGTGATTGCCCTGCTCTCCATTTTGACCAGGTATCTCTGCAAGGACCCACCACCCTCGATGGAGTCAACAGCTCCATCCAATTAAGTATCACGCATGAACTTGCTTAAAAACCCTTCAAGTTCTTCATCCAAATTATTTAAGAAAACATTGAAGAGGACTGGTCCTAAATGGAGCCCTGGGGAACCCCATTACTTACAAGTTGGCAGCCTGATATAACACTATTTACAAGAGCCCTCTGGGCCTGACCCATTGGCCAATTGTTCATCCATCCTATTTGTACTGGGTCTGGCTGGAATGTTAACTTTCCCGGCAGCAGCCCATACAGTGCTGTGCTCTGCACTTGTAGCTGGAACAGCAGTGTTATCACACTAGTGTTGTGTCTACTGCTGAGCAGCAGTGGCACAGCATCGGGCCTCCCTCTAACCCTCCTAGGGGGTGGGCAAAAAGTGAGGAGAGAAACATCACTAGGGCAGCTGACCTAAACCAATCAAAGGGATATTCCATACCATGTGATGTCACACTCAGCAATAAAAAGTGGAAACAGGAAGAAGAGAGGAGGGGTGGACTCTCGTTGTGAAAACGTCGGTCCTCCTCCCGAACACCGGCTACGTGCGTTGAGGCCCTGCTTCAAGGACGTGGTCAATCATCGCTCATTTGTGGGAAGTAGAGAGTAATTTCTTTCCTCTACACTTCCACATAGCCTTCATTTGTTTTATTTGTTTGTATTCCTTCCTTTTTTTCCCTTCCCCTCCCTTTTTCCCCTTTCTGTTTTTATTTCCATTTAGTTAAATTGTCTAGTTCATAATAATCTTTCTTTAATTATTATTATTATTATTTCCCTTTAATTAAATTATCCTTATCTCAACCCGTGAGTTGTTCTTTGCTTTACTTCTCCCCCTCCTCATCTAAAAAGAGGGGGAGTGAGAGAGCGGTTGTGGGGTTTAGCTGCCCAGCACTAAAAACCACCACACTATTATGCTTTTATCTAACTGTATTCTGGTCATTTTGTCCATAAGGATACTGTGAGATACAATATTGAAAGCTTTATTGAAATCCAGAAAGATTACATCGACTGGCTTCTTTTGGTCAACTGTCTGGTTGATCTTGTGGTAGAAGGAAATTAAGTTTGTTAGACATGACCTTACTTTGGTGAACCCTTGTTGGCTCTGACCAATGACTGTGTTGTCCTTCGTGTGTTTTTCAATAACTCCCAGAATCACCTTCCCCATAATTTTACAAAGCACTGAAGTGAGACTGACAGGCCTGTAATTGCCTAGATCTTCTTTCTTGCGCTTCTTGAAAACTCAAAGCATGTTATCCAGCTTCCAGTCATCTGGGACCTCTCTGGATTTCCAAGACACTTGAAAAATAATTGAGAGAAGTCCCTTGATGACATCAGCCAGCTCTCTGAGTACTCTGGGATGAATCCCTTCAGGTCCCATGGATTTACATGCATCCAGGTAGAGTAGCACATCTTGTACAAGTTCAGGGTTAACTGGAGGTTTATCATTCCTGCAGTCATGGTCCTCCAACTCAGGACAGCTGGGGTCCTAGAACTCATCACTGGTGTTGAAGACAGAGGCAAAAAAATGCATTAAATGTCTCTGTATCATAGTACACATTTATATGTGACAAAGTGACTCATAGGGAATGCATGTGACCAGGTGAGTACTGAAAAAATGGCAAGTAAGAAAGCATTTTTAAGTTTCTAAAGATTATGTGAAGGAAGAATATCCATTCAAAACTAAGTAACATGTAGTAATGAGTAGAAAACACTCCACTACATAATCTTGCATAGTCAAGGTAGAAAAAAATTAAAAATCTGTATAACTAATTTGGACAGTCTTACAATACTATCTCCTGTAAAGAAACAATGTTGATCTTTAGAAGAGATCAGTTAGAAATTGTAATTAGGCCAGAAATTCTCAGGAAAAAATAAAAAAATAAAAAGACCAGAGCATAAATATGGGAGAAAAGAATGGCAAGCACAGGGAATTATTAGGAATTATCGAGGAATCCACATCTTTCTTTGATGTAGTCCTTTAGTTGCTGGGGACAGGACATCAAGCACTCATGAGTTTCTGACTACAGTAGGATGTTTTTTTTCAGGGAATCCTATATCTCTGCCCTATAGCTGAATTGACTTTTGTCAATGACTTTTGTGGACATTAATGTTACGCTGCTTTCATGAAGATGTACACTTGAAAATGGCTGAGCCAGAGAAATATTTCTCTTTGTGAATATATTAAAATCTATGTCTGGGAAAGCAGACATATATTAGCATGTTAAAGGTCTGTAAATGCAAAGCCTGCGTTTTGTTACCTTCTGAGGAAGTCTACTCTACACATATATTATACCATCTCAGGAGACAATAACAAGTTCATTCATCCATTGAATTCTCATTTAATCAAATGATTAAGTGATTTTTTTTTTCTTATTGTTTAGATTTCAGTTTAGCTTCTTTTTCTCTGGATTAATTCATTGTTTATCCATTTTATTGTTTCTCCTAATGTTTTATTTCCTTCTGGTAACCGTTTCATCAACCCTTCAGTACAACTGAAGTCAATATATTACGGAGAGCTGTACTGGATCCCCCATAATATTAAATTTGGATTCTTTAGTGATAGTATGCTTTTCACAGTGAGGTATGAATTTCTTAATGAATTAATGAGATTTTGTAAAAAGTACTAAGATACAACATCATTTCAGCAGGAATTAGCTGCTTGACGTATTTTAAAGTTCACCTCAGAAAGCATATAATAGATACTTAGTAGATAACTTGTGCTAATGCTCTTGAGTGGCCCAGACAACGTCTCCTTAAAAAGCATTTTATTTGGGTAAGGGTGGAAAAGGTTATTCATCACAGTTCCCCTTGGGGAAACCCTGTTTGGCTAATTAATAGCAAGAAGCAAATAGCTGCACAGTCTAGCAGTAAAATTTTCTATGGGAACTCTAAACTCTTAAACAAATTCCAAAGTTAATAAGAAATGCTATATATAAAACACAGTATCTGAAAAGTAAGAGTAAGGAGACCAAAAACAAACAAACAAACAACAACAACAACAAAACATCTACCTGTGTATACTCAGCTGACATAAATCAACACCACTTTCTTGAAGTAGAGTTACAATGATTTATAATAGGAATTTTAGCCTAACATTGAATAAGCTTACTGAGACATTTTGAGTTCTATTTCCTTCCTGGTTACAGAAAATGATGACCAAAGTAATTGTGCAAAAGACCTGAAAACTCCATTCACCCATAAGTAATTGACCTTATGATAAAACCCCCCATGGCCCTTTACTGTAGAGCAGGAATATGTACAGCATCTTCAGGCAGCCTCCTAGCTATACAGGCCTAAGGAAATCCTTTATGACCAGCAAACTATTGATTCTGAAAAATGCATTATTTGATCATAAATCTTGGGCAAGCTCAACACAGGTCAGCAGAGAAAAAAAATATTTACTACTCAAAGTTGCTTTTAGAGTACTTTGTATTCCACTCTCAGAGTGGAATATACAGAAAGATAGAAAGATATACAACACATACACTTATCTGCAATATATTTTCTGTTTTGATTTTTTTTCATTCTTTTTCCCTGGAGGATTGTATCTTATGGTAGCACAGAAAATCCTTCCTTTTGAAATAATATATGTAGTCTTCCCATAAAATTGACTCGAGGGTGGAAACTAGTCTGTCAGAGACAGTCAATTTATTATTTTTTAAATTGCTTCTGTAGTGTCAATTGAATTAATCAATCCAGCCTAAGCACTGTGTTCCTTCCCTGAATATTTTTTGAGTTATCACCTAGTAATACATCATTAATTAAAATATGTTGAAAGTTTACCAGAGTACAAAATATTTGTGTTTTCTACTTTGTCAAGTTGAAAATATTCAAAATACTTTACATCTGAGACTTTTCAACAATTCTAAACTGATGCTGACTGGATTATTGATCACACCTTCTTGTGCCCAGGTATCTTGGATCTGAAATGATAGAAACTACAGATAGTCTGCTGTCTGGTGCACTGTGTATCTGTGACATCCTGTCTCCTGGGATTGACTTGTAAGGACATACCA